TGTCATGATGGGCCGCATTTGGCCTGGGAGCCTTGAGTTTGACACATGTGATTTCTGTAAACTATACATTAAAAGGACTCTTCACTTCCTGTTTTGAGGAGAAGCTTATGAGTCTGCAACCTTTGGCTTTGGAAGGAAACATGAAGTCATGACAGCAAGACAGCAGATAAACGGTCAAAAACTGCAAAGTTTGCGGAAGTAAAACTGGTTTGCAAAAGGTAAAAGTCTCAACAGATCAAAACTTTGATCGCCTCCGAGCTGGACCCTCACCTGATGTTTTTGCCTTCGTTTGCGCTCCTGCTCAATCTTCTGCTGCTTCTCCAGTTTCTCTGTGATGCGAGCCTCCCGCAGAGACTGACGCTTGCTCCGCTTGTAGGCCTTTGCGTCGAGCGCCGTCTCCAGAGCCGTGTCGCGTCGCATGCACACTACCACCTCCTGACGCAGCTGCAGACACAGAGCGCTAAAATCACCATCGCTGAAGAAACACAAACTCATCGGCAGGAGGCTGCGAGACGGTTTACTCGGAGGACAAAAGGTGAAGATGCTGTGGTGCCTACCTGTCGCTGGAAGTTAAGCAGGCGAAGAGCTTTAAGTTCTATTGTAGCTTTGGTGCGTAAATCACCAGCTAAAGAACCTGGAAGGTTCTCCAGCTCAGCAATGCGATGAGCGATTCGAGCCTGTAACCTGAAAGAACAAACAGCACTGATGTAGACCTTCAATGCTGCATTGATGTTTTTGTCTTTTGCTCATAACTGAATTTTTAACGCGTCGCTTGCAGGATGTACCTGTACTCCCTCTCCTGCAGGATCTCTACTGGGTCGAGGCCGCAGGGCTTCTGAATGGGAGTAATGCGGTTCTGCTTGGCGTGGTAAGGCATCATGGGAGGAGGCTGTGCCGGCTGACCGGGGGACTGGGTCTGTGGGGGCATGACGGGCGAGGCAGCCGGGGGAACTGAAGGAGGGGCAGGGGAAGGCCTGCCGGTGGGTTGAGGGGGGATCAGTTTTTGAGGTGCGTTGGAGGGGGCTGCTGCGTTCACCATGGGACCTGGAGGAAGATTTAGAGAGAAAATTAAATACGAGTTCGTTTTAAATATAGTTAAATATTTTGAAGAATAGAAAAGTTACTAAAAATCTAAAGTCACAGCATCCAAATCCTGAATGAGCTGAACACTTTGATTTTTGAATAGTTGAAAAAAAGTACACTGAAAAAACAAACTTTTGGGTGTAGTAACATTTTTTTTATTCTTTTAAATTTTACAAAAGAAATAAACATATTCTCTAAACTACTAGAATTTACTAAATAAACATATGCATTATATTATATATCAATATTACTGTACAAAAAAGTAAATGCTAATAAATTCATGTGATATTTACTCATTATCTAGTAAAAGTTATTAAGAATAATATAGTTAAAGATTTGTGAATAAATCAGGTAAATTTTACTTAATTTGATCAAGTATATGTTACAAGATTTAATTGAGCAAATTAAGTAAAATTTACCTGATTTATTCACAAATCTTTAACTATATTCTTAATAACTTTTACTAGATAATGATGAGTAAATATTACATGCATTTTTAGCATTTAAATTAACTTAACAAACTTAAGTGCAAATTGTTACGAGGATTTTTTTCAAGTAAATCTTACAAATTATTTTTTTCAGTGTAGTTGGACTGCAAAACATATGAAAGATAAAACAGGAAAACAATTTGTGCTGAGTCAGCGTTCACACTGTTTTTACAATAAACAAGCCTAAAAATACAATGACAAACAGATTCTTTCTTTGGTTGTTTGACGTGTGAAAACTTTTTATTCATATTAGCTGTTCTCTATAACTGGTTACATACAAATACTGAACAAGTGAATAAGTGCACAATGATGTTCCGTACATAAGCTAGGTTTTATCAAAGGGTTTCATATCTAATAAAAGTAGTTGTGCTTTAAGATCTGACATCAAGAACGTGTACCTTCAGGCCAGGACTTTGGTGGTCCATTGGGGTTTGGTCCTTGCATTCCAACTGGGGTCCCTGATGGACCTGGGGGAGGCATGTTTGGACCCATCATTCCTGTGGTGAAGAAAATACAGATCATCTTTGGCTTAATGACCCTACAGCACTGGTTTGAAAAATACTGAAAATAATTGGAAAAACTTGGCTGTTTTGTGAACCTTTTCAGCATATTCAGTTAAATCACATTCAGTGCATCACTGTGGTTCACAAAGTTGTGGTTGTTAGTTATGTTTGCCCGTTTATAGCTGGGGTTGCAGGTCTTTGCTGGTGTTATTTTGTGGGCCAGAACCTAAAACGTTTGGGAACCACTGGTGTACCAAATCAATCCAAAAGCTCACATCGCCCGGGCATGCTCACCATGAGCTCGGCTATAGCCCGAGCCCATCGGCCCAGGCCCTGATCCTGGTCCTGCTGGAACACTTCCTGGCCCTCCGCCAGGTCCAGGGACCAAGCTGGTCATGGGCTGCTGCTGCTGCATCCCCGGCATGGGCCTCTTTCCCTGAACAGCCATCTGGAGATGATCCGGCAGAGGTTGGCCCCGGGCCAGCATCTTATACGCCATGATCTGGGCTCTGAGCTGATGAAGCTGGTTCTGGTTGAAGGGAGTTGGGCCACCCGGACCAGCWGGGCCGCTGTTTTCAAGACCAGAGCCCAGAGTTGAGACACCAGAGCCAAGACTTGGACCAGAGCCCGGGCCTGGTCCGGAACTACCTGGAGGTCCAGGCCGGTTATTTGGCCCCAAGGAGTGTTGGTCTCCACTGGGGCCATCTAGGGAGGCTGAGGAAGATCCAGGACCAGCGGAAGAAGAGGAGGACGAAGCTGATGGCATTAGGGGACCAGATGGGGGCCCATTTGAAGCCACGGGACTGGAGTGGTCAGAGCCACCTAACGGAGAGTGGTAACCTGGAAGACATGAACAAAAAGAGTGGGGGGATCACAAGAGAGCCTAAACAAAATGTTTAAGATGCAAAATTATGTTGTCATTAAGCTTTATAGATAATTTCATTATTGTTTGACCAAAAATAGCTAAATAAGCTAACAACTACCTTGAGGTACATTGCGGTATTAGTCTTCTTGTTTAAATCCAGGCTGTGTATTTTTACCAAATGTCAAAAACATTTTCTGCTCCTAAGCTCACCGTATTACCCAAACAATGAATCATTACCTAACCCTGAGTAAATCCTCCCAGACTGTTGTTTCAAAAGCTTTTTCTAACTGATTCACCGAGTTAATTCAGGCAAACTGTCATGCTTTGAGCTTCATCAGTCTTTATTTCAGGAAAACAAAGTTAATTGTCAGCATTCACATTATCATTTTTTAATTTTCTCAAAAGAAAGAACGAGTAAGACAACTGTTCAGATTAAATATTGTGTATCAAGCAGGGCTGCTTCCTTTAGCTAATATCCAGCTTGATTTAGCTTTTAGCCAGAGACTAAAGGTAAGGATTCACACACGTCACAGCTTGTTAATTACCAAGACACTCCCCGCAAACACAGCCCAACCACTGGGGTAACGCCACTCGTCTTACACAATGCAGGAGACGTTGCCAAAGATCGGTTTGTGGTGCCTGCTTACCCTGCGAGTGTTGGTCCAGAGGACTGGGTGGGGGGCCCATGCCGCTGTGCCCGCCCGGTCTCATAGACATCCCCTTCATTTGACTGAAACGGCTCTCCTCACCCAGGCTCTTGTCGTGCATGGACTCCATGGGCTGCAACACAAAACACAGTGTTGGAATTTGACCAAAAAAAATTTTTTTAATTTGATAAATAAATAAGAGACCGAAAAAATCTTATTTTTTCAGCTCTACAATTAGAATAACTACAAAATAAATGTAAAAAGGTAAAAAACAGTTTCATATGATTGTTGACACTGACTAATTTGAGACTTGCTGTAGCTACAACTGCAGTTAAACAAGCTTCACACATATTTATATATGTTTAATTCAGTCTGATGCTAACAACAGCTACTAAAATTAATAGGAAGTGAACAACAAATGTGTTACAGATAAACCTCAGCTGCCACCAGTTTTTAGCTCAATATCTGTAAGACTGTCTGACCTACAGCTATTTTTCTGTTCTGAGTCAGATTGATTCTAAAAGTTAATCAGTTGTAAATAAACATCCACTGATTACTTTTGCAGAGTTTTAATAAAATGTATCAAGTTGTTCATAAGATATTTTGTGAACAGACAGACGGGATCCACTCCAACAGTTAACACCAAAGTTTTAAAGCAAGTTGACTTGACACCAAAAGTTGCTGCAGAGTTAAACCCAGTGATTATTTTATGATTGGTTGACACTTTGACGAGAAAAAATGTAGTAGTCTCGTTTAATGAAATGAAACTCCCAGAAACTAATCAACCTTTAAGGTCAAGATGTCTGCCACAGCAACACAGCCTACATATGACAGCAGCATAACAAAACTCCTGACATTCTGTTATGGCTTTTTGCTTTGGTGTCATTGAAAACATTCTGGAGGCGCTGTTTATGACTGAAGTTTCACATGATAACAAAATAAAGCCCTGAAGTTTAGCTGTGAATACCTGCACTGTGAATGCATATTTGACATATCTGCAATATAAAAAATAATAATAAAAAATAAAATTATATACATGAAAATGAAAAGTGAGCTTGTATATTAATATTAAATCTACAAACTGTGAAGTTCAAACATACTCACTGCAAACTATACAATCAAACCAGACAGAGCTTGTTTAAATATTTTATCAACGCTGGTCTAATGCTCCGAACGTTTAGAACATGAATCATATTATCTCCAGCCCATGATGTTATAAGCCTGTTTCTGTTTGGATAGTTTTAGAAACCTGTCTGCCCACTTTACTTTACTAATATGAGTGTAAATACATAACAACACATTAAATTAGACTTCTCCAAACCAAATAGCTCTTTCATGGACATCACTAGTGTTGACCTATTTTCAGTCCCATCAGCTGTTTCCACAGGTAAACATTGGCAGCTGTTCAGTTTTAATTCAAGGACACATTAATCATCAGTATGAGGCAAATATTACGTTTGGTTTCTTATTTTATTTTGTTGGGCTTCGTGATTTTGCAGTGAGTACATTTAAATATTTTTACAGGGGCTGATGAGGGAGGGGGGTGTGGGTCTCAGCAGGACCGCTGGTGTTTGACCTCCTTACTTTGTGCAGGGGGTGCATGTTATCTGGGCCGTAGCCCGAGGGCCCCGGCTGGGGGTGTCCCGAGGGGGGAGGAGGGCCAGGGCTGGGGCCCATCATGCTGTGAGAGGAGCCCGGGGAGGGCCCGGGGCTGGGGCCCAGCATGGCACCAGGGGAGGGGCCCGGACCAGGGGAGGGACCTGGCCGAGGGGTGCCCCCCATGGGAGGATCAGGTGTTGACATGGCCCTGGATCACCTGCTCCTTGGTGAGCAGCAGGGACCTGAAAGGAAAGAAATACACAACAGCTGGTTTATATGGATGCTGTTTTAAAATAAAAATTATCACTTTAATATCTAAATTTATTTGCGCGTATCTTTATAATAATCCAGAATAGGTTCATTTAAAGGCATATGAGCTGTAGCTTCTCCATCCTCCTGCTGCGCTGCACCAAATCACCCAGAATGCAATTAGAACCGGGTCTGAACTTGATCTGAGCGCGAGGAAATACTGTAAATTATGCACATGATCCCACGCGGTTGGCAATCTCCTCACTCCGCTCGTGAAAAGGAGCTTCGTTAAAGATGAAAAAAAAAAAAAAAAGGTGGTGGTGGTGGGGGGGAATGGCGGACTGTGCTTGTGCAGACTGACCTACCGGCATCAGCGGGACGGGCGGAACCGGACCGAACCTCGGCGCATCTGAGCTGCAAAATGTTTGAGGGGAGATGAAAGAAGACGCTGCGGCTGCGGCAATTAGTCTACTCACCCTGTTCCAAGGCTGCCTTCAAGCGCTGATTTGTTTCACCGACGTGGCTCGAGCGCCCCCCTCCACCGCTCCTATGACCGAATGTCTGGCAGCGGCTGTCGGTGTCCGCCAGTGCGCATGCGCGCGCAAGGCAAACAGCGGAAGAACGAGAGGCCTGGGTTACAATGCACAGAAACAAACTYAGAGAAATGATTAGAACATAAGTTATCTTGGCCTACCATGGCAAACTAGATTTTTAAACTCTTGCTGGTAAATTAAACATTTTCTTTTCTTTTTTTTTTCAGATTCTATTGAGTTATTTCATGTGTAAAAATATAATATAAAAGAAAATAAGTTACAGGACTTTATCGGCCTTTCACACGGTTGTGGAAGAGTTGTGATCCACTCTTTTTGCACATTTCTTCATCTCTCTGAAGGTTCCACTACGGCACTTCAGTCTGATTGAAGTCTGAACTTTGAATGAATCATTACATCTTCATCGTTTTCTTTGTCAGCAGTTCTGTTTTAAATTTACAGTTCTGTTTGGGATCATTGTTCTGTTGCATCGTGACCCAGTTTGGGCTCAGCTGTCTGTCTTTTATCTGACTCCAGAATCCTTTGGTCTGCAGAGGTGTTCATGATCGACTCAAAGACTGCAAGAAGTCCAGATCCTGCAAAACAATGTGGTTAAGACAAGGTGGATTGCTGCCATTTTAAAACAACTCCAGTATAAAAGATTTCATATTGGTTCATGCAAACTGTAGTTTTTGTGTGTGTGTGTGTGTGTTTATGTAAATTGCTATGATCTTTTTTGTGATTTAAGTTGTTTAATGTTTTGAATGGCACCCACTTTAGTCTTGGCTAACTGTTAGCTCATCATTCATGTCAGAATTAAACTCTTTCTCCAAAAGTTATCTAGAACAGTGGTTCCCAAACTTTTTATCTTATGACCCAAAACATATCCATTGCAAAAACTTGTGACCCCAAATATTACACGAACTTTGTTAATAACCCTAAAAACACAGACTTTTTGACAATCTAAACAGCTTGTACACAAATACAAATACTTATTTCTACTTTGTGTGTTTTTGTAATAATTATAGGGAAAATATTACAGCAGCAATTATTTTATTACCCTTTAATTTGATTTCTGGAGATTATCCAAGGTGCTTCATGACCCATAATTGGGTCCCAAGCCCAACTTTGGGAACCAAAGTGCAGTGGTTCCCAAACTTTTCAGCTTTTGACCCACAAAATAACAGTAGCAGAGACYTGTGCCCCCAGCTGTTTTTGGATGATAAACATTTGTATCAGGTCAACTAAACATGGGCATAGTAACAATATTTTTATACTACATTTATCCATTTTAAAATATACTAACCTGACTCCTTTGTAACAACTAAGACAAAAATGTAATTAATTCCGAAAATCTTTTCAGGACCCCAACTTTGGGAAACATTGATCTAGAACAGGTAAGATATCAACTGTTCACAACTTTTACAGAAAATGTCACTTGAAAGTTGAACCATAACCGTTTACAGAATGAGTTTAGGAAGCACAGAACCACTCTGCTTCTCAATATAGTGAGATGGTAAAAACACAATAGTACAAAAAATACCAACAAGGTGTAAGATGTAACTTCAGTGTTTGAATTTAATCAGGATAACAAACCAGTTGCAGTAGTAGTTTTCACATAGAACAAAMTGTCATTTTAAGAAAAACTGCTCAAAATCTCTTCTTTATGTAGAATAAGATAAAACTCAGACATAAAACAGAAACGCTTGAGTTTAAATCAGTAAATCTTTTCAAATATCTTTAGATTATTTTGTTCAAACATGTAAAAATATCCTTTTTACCTTGCAGTGTTTCGACCGCAGTCTTTCTCCGTCGCGTCACCTGGTGTTGATGTGATGTGTTTACCAGCTGACCCAGGTCTAGGTTGGTCACATTTTATTTTCTGTATCTTTACACATCTGAACAAATAAATCTGAAGAGCTACTTTGGGTTTTACTTTGAAGACAAACCCAAAAAGACACGATAACCATGTTTTATGAGACACATTTAACAGATAAAAACAACAACAATGTAACAGCAGATTCCTTTGTGTTTCATGTTCCCGTTATTTAAATAATGAGATGCTGACAGCATTTGTGGTTTGAAGTTTAGTTCAAGTTTCAACTCTGGACATTTGGAAGAACCAGAGAAAAATACCTCTGACTTCTAAATTTATATGTACAATTAAAAGACAAAATTATAAATTACACTAACCCAACACTCACTCGCAAACATACATTCATAAAACTCATAAATAAACCTGACAAAAAGGACAAAAATTACAACCTGAAACAGCAGGTGGAATATTGTACAGCAACATTTTGGGAAGCAGCGGTCTCGACTGTGAGGCTTTTTATGTTATCGAGTGAACACTAAGTGCTTCAAAGGTTTCCCACCACGATCAACTCTGACAGTCAACTTATTTCAGCAAAGCAGTCAGAACTGACTCATCTCAAAAGTCTTCAATGTAGAGGTAAAGTTTGTGAAGCAAGGCAGACCAAGAGCTGTGTCCAGTGGGTAGCTGCACCATCCAGTTTTTTTCCGTTTTGAGGGAAAAAATAGAAGATAGAACAAGTCCAAGAGTGCCATCTACAGGTAGCAGGAGAGAGAACATCTTCCTCTTTGGCTCACAGGAAAACAAAATCGTCACTGTTTCTTCTGTTGTTGCTCCTGCTCAGTTTGCCTGGAGGCAGGATGTGGGTTGCGGGGCCACTGTGGTTGCTGCAGTGACCCTCAAGTCCATAGTCCTGACTCCGCCCCTCAACGAAGGTAAAGATGGGGTACTTCTCTTTGGATGATGACAGAGCCTTTGTGGAACAGAGAAGCAGCGAGTAAACACCGCTGTAAAAACACCTTAAACAACCGCTGAACCTCTCTGTTAGCTCTGCACTAAAATGAGAATGAAAACCTAAAGAGTAGTTAAGCCATTTCAAAATGGGGCTTTGTATGAATAGTTAATATCTTACAAGTTAAACAAGCTACAGCAGGTCTGACCTGGTCCTCGAGTGTCACTATCTTGCATGATTTAACTGTTTCTCTGCACCAACACACCTGATTTGAATGACTAAATGATTAACAGGCTTTGAAGAACATGTGGCGGTAATCCAGTTACTGAATCAGGTGTGATAGAGCAGAGGACAAAAAACTTTTCAGAGAATTCAAAACCGGACTTAAAAATATGATATTGAAATAAATGCTGCAGTTTTCTTTTTATTTGTCGATTCTGAGCATCAATAAAAACTGAGCTATATAAAGGATGTAAAAGCTCACCATGCTGACTGCAGAACAAAGAGATTCAAAGTCCTTCTTATTCTTGGCGTAAAAGCCGATGGTGCAGCTGGGATCCATACGGCTGAAGGGCATCTTTTTAGGAGCGCTACAGTGGAACGACTGTCGAGCGATAAAAGGACATTAAAAAAGTTAACAAAGCCAAAGGTTATTGAATCAATAAGAAGACAAGTTATCTTTGAAGGTACGGACAGGCGAAACACTAGTGACTGTTGAAGTCAACTGATCCAACTCCACTGTGAGAGAAAAATCTTTAGGAATCAAGAGCAAAATGTGATGAAGCACGCAGAGAGTGTAACGAACCTCCAGTGAGAAGTTGGGCTGAGAGAAATCAGTGACCGGCTGGCAGAGGTGAGGGTCCAGATAGAGCAGCTGTTCATCTGATTAAAAACAAAATAAAATCATGGGAAATGAAGTGCCATTCCTTTAAATAAAATTAAAAAAAAGTCAGCTGCACTTCAAACTTTGGGTAATTTATTTTAATTGGCTCCTCTGACAAGAAGCAGCAGGTTCTCACCCTGGAAGCCAATGAAGTAGAGCGAGTGCTTGGGTTTTCCACCAATTATTCCGATGCAACAATCCAGCTTTAGGATGTTCTGAAAATGAAAACAAAGGTTCTCAGTATGAGACATGAAGCTTAAACCTTCAGTATGAGCTCAGAGGACGGGAGGTGGGTGAAGCAGAGTGTGCAGACCTTGACACATTCTATGTAGGAAGGGTTGAGGCTCTCTCCTCCGAGCCGAACCGGTACCAGAATGATGACAGACTTCCAGGCCTGGTTGCAAGGATCACGTGGACTCTGACTTAGTGACAGATCACAGAGATGAACCACGTCTTCTTTGTACACTGGAGGGTGCAAACACATCACGAGAGAAAACAAAAATCAGACAGAATGTATACATGTATAAGATAAAAGTGTTTAATGAGCAAACAGCTGATTTCTAATTCTCACCTGTGCAATCCTGAGCCACATATACGACCAGATTTTGCACCACAGATGATTTATCCACTGCTTTCCTGCCAGAGAAAAAACAAAACTTTGATTATAACATTCTGCATCTTTCCAAATGTGTGAATAATACCAGAAAACCACTTAATCATGCTAAAAAGAATATGTTTGAATTCTGGTGCACTTACTGAAGTATGTGTGCCACTACCGAGGGGCCGTACCAGTCACCAGCCTTCTTCCCTGACCCTTTGCCAATATCCACCAGCTGGTGAACACCAAAAGGTGTCGGAGGTTGATCTCCAAACCAGGCGATGAGCTTGTGGTGAATGGGGTCTGCTTGTCGGTCCCTCGCAGACTCCGGCCTCTTCTTCAGGCTGCATCTTGGTGCCGGAGTGCTTGTCTGAGATTTTTCCGGGGTGCTGGATCCACGCGGTGAGCCAAAGGACGGGATGGGAACACCTCCAGCTCGTACTGGGGAGCGTGGTCGGAAAACCTCAAAGTCCACGTCGGTTAGCTGCTGAGCATCTGGCCAAGTCCAGTCTACAGACACAGAGAAAAAGGCTTCAACCCAGTGCTGCAATACAACCAGGAGGATAAGAAGAATGTTCCTTACTCTGGAACAAGGACACTTGTAATATTTGTTAATGCAAGAGACAATGAGAACTATACAAAATCAATCCTGCACTCCTGCAAAATATAAACGCTGTGAAATGTGAACTTGACTCTAGGTCGAACTTCACTAAAAATACCCAGTGCTTCAGTTTTGCTCTTTGCCCTCATTATCTGCTCCTCTTCAGCATAGTATTAGCCTGGCCCTTGCTTTCCTACGCAGTTCCGCTCAATTCTAGTTTCCCTTCACTGCTCYGTCTGGGATTTCTCCCATAGACAAGGATTCCTTCAGGAGAATTTCATTTGGGCCAATCAGAGAACAGAACGTCGATTTTCTGCTCAGTGTCTTCTTGTAGTTTATTTTACCTGGGCCAATCAGAGAACAGAAGGAGGAGTTTTGAATGACGTTGATGTTCTGCACAGTGTCTGCTAGTTATTTTAGCATACGGCAGTGGAGGAAGTGAATGAAGCCAGTCTGTGTTGATAAGGCTTCCAAATTAAAATAAATTTGTCTGACAAAGCAGCAGCTCTCATTTACAGTCGTCTCAGTCAGCTCGGTACTTTTCTCCTCAGTAGGGTTGTTTACAGCACACGCGAGTTCCAGTTAGCTTCTGAGCTTAGCCTCCTTCACAGTGGAGCTGGCATACACATATGTCACGGCCAACCGATCCAATCATTTTACACTTCAGCAGAGGCCACGCCTCCAGCAAGAATCGCTTCTCTATAGCCGTGAGTCCAGACCCTCGTACGAAGCAAAGTGAAGGACAAGGGCCTGTTTTTTTTACTGGGCTAGCACAGTATTCATATGCACTAAGAACATGCCTGTCACAAACACACAATCGAGTTCAGCAGGTGTGAGAAATCTGCACTCTTTTCGGGTCAAACATCAATTGTCCTCAGCAGCTGTGGCTGAGTGGTTAAGGGAGTTTTCCTCTAATTCAGAGAGTTGGCGGTTTGATTCCCTGCTATTCAGTCATATGTGGAAGTGTCCCTGGGCAAGACACTGAACCCCCACTGCCTCTGTGTGTCCCATCAGAGTATAAATGTAATATAAAGTACTGATTAGTCTCCATAGATGATTTATACATGTTATATTGTAGAGATCTAGTAGAGTGAATGTGTGGGTGTGTAAAGCTCTCCATGGTTGGATAGAAAAACGCTATACAAGTACAGTCCATTTGCAATTTAATGTCAGTTCAAAAGTGACAGAGAAAAAGAGAAAAAAGTTTTCTCACAGAGAGGTTCAGTCATTAATGAATGAAGTACAGAGAAAGTCCTTAAACCAGCACAAACAGCATCTGATTGTAGTGTGGAGGAATCATGCTCAGGACATTTTGTGTTTTAGAATTATCATTGCATTCTTTTATTTTCACCTAATAAGTGAAACAAGGATCTCTCGTGAAGGCTTCAGATCATATCCTACGTACGTGCAAAACAGATTTTTGAACACGAAGCAGAATAATTGAGACAAACCTCTGGGCATCAGATGAACAACAAGCCCCTGTGCCAGCAGCATCTGACCGCTGCGCAGCATGCAGCCCCAACCACAGTCCGTGGTAAATGTGGAGCCTTCCAGCTGAGGAAACTCCCTCCGGTAGGTCAGCCAGACCCTGGATACAAAAGCTTGACGGAATCGATCCACCTCATCTGAGAGACGATGCGAGGAGGCAAAAATATGGTGACAAAAGAAAAAAACAGAGTAAATCTACGATACACATCTCTAATCACCTGCTTAGGTGTCTTATGTGAAAACAAACAAGCTTTTAAAAAGGAAGAGAGTTTACACCACCCACATCACTACCAAAGAAAAAGAGTCTGTGTGTTTACCTTCACTGTTAAGCAGATAAGTGTGTCCAAGGACAGTGACTGGAGATATTTTGTTGAAAGACGTTTTAGATTTAACAGTCCACCCTGTAGTCAGATGTTCAAAACAACAGAACCAAAACACATTAGCAAATGAATCACAGAAGTTTTGGAGTCACTTACATGTTCATAAAAATGAACATGCTCGAGATCAGAGCTCAGAAGATTCTGAATTATTACCATATTTGACACTGTTCCACGCCGACATCAGTTTAGCTTTAAGTTTGTCGATCTCATCYGGTTCGTCGGCTGCTTCTCTGCTGGCATCCGGAATCTGAGACGCTCTGAGTCCAAAGCTGCTCTGTCGTTCCAGCAGCGGCGGCTGCCTCCGGCTCTCCACCTGTTCCTCCTGCATCACAATTCCCACGTACTGAACGGCACTGGGGGAAACAGAGTTCATGCCCCTGAGCCCTCAGAGGTGGACTCTGGTGCTCCTCATCGCAACACAGACCTGAGAAAAGGGAACAAATTTGGGTAAAACATTCAACTATTAACATGTTTATCTTTATGTAAAGTTTGTTTTGTTTAAATTACCATAAGGCCCGAGGTGTTGAAAATATAGGTCAAGAATTTATTTAAAAAAGTTAAATATTTAAATATAAACACTAAATATATTACCATTAGAAACAAAGATGTTGAAATATCATCCTGTTGTGTGAACACCKCTTTTTTCATGCTATTGTTTAAAATGCTGACTGATAAAAACCTCCAAAAATTCTTCAATTTATTAAGTTTTACATTGCACAGCTCTAAACTTCCTGCCTGATGTTACAACTCATACTCAATGGGCAGTAGAAGACRAAATGGACCCTATAGGATTCTTTTTGCATGTTTGAAAAGACACTGGTCAAATACATCCGTAAGATTAGATTTCCTACAATCATTCTGACCAGCAGTCTTTAAAGCCACGTGCAACCTGCAAGTTAACTTAAATTTTAAAGGAACTGAAAGGTTTCCAAAGCACATAGTCATCACATGTCTGATTATTTTTAAACGCAGCCAGAAAGAACAGAACCAAATATTTTGGAACAACTCCAATCAGATGCAATCTTCTTTAGAAAACTTGTCATAAGTAGTAGATAGCAAATCTATTCAATATGTATTTCCCAAGAAAGATACTGTCCAAGTACACACCCATTTCCAACCTGAATTGGCTACTTAATTACAGTCAGTGATCAGCAGTCTCCCTTGGATCAAATATGATCTCATATGTTTTAACATTTAAAACTAGGGTTTTTGAATCACATCATGTAATTATTTTTACTACAAAAAAATCTGATTATAAACAATTAAGAGGCTTATTATTTACTTTTACCTTTTAGGATTCGAGGGTGAGCTTTAATATTTTCAAAACTACAAACCGAAACAGTCTGGATAAATGCTTTATTATTTTTGCCAGCTGTGTAATTAACCATCTACTAACAATTTCACAATCTGGGTTCTAAGAGTCAGACATTTTCCACAGTGAAACTGATGAGTAGGAGTTTCAACAGGGAACAAGATGCAGCAGTGTGTAGTCACTGATGGATGAGTTTTAGTAGAAAAGACACACGTACACATCATGTGACAAGCATTTGACAACCAGTAAATCGAGCTTCTTCAGCAGCAGAAAGTCATCTGATTGTGGTCATTAATATCACCGCGGTAATACTGTTTATAACTACCACAAATAAGCAAGTTGTTACACTAAAAATGTGTGTTTTCTGTTAAAATGTTCAACATATTCATGGTAATTTCAATGACTATTTTCTGCTGTCACGACATAATTTCGAACATGGACCTCTCTGAACACACCGTCCTTTACCTGGTGTTACAAGTGTGTTCGTCAGAAATTACATACCTGTTGTTTCAGAAGGACTAAGAAGGTCGGTATCTTGTCCCACAGCCACTCATTTTCGGTAATTTACTCACGCTTGTTGACTAAAAACCAGCTTTCTGTTCAAGCTAGCTTTAGCGTTAGCCCCGGCGTAAGCTCGAACAGACTGACCAAAACAAAAGAAATAAATTTAAAAATAAAAGCTCCGAGAGTTTCCAACAAGACACGACAGATATAAGTATGAATTGGGCCGCTCCTGTCRCCACTCTAGATAATTAGTACAATCTAAATGAGTCACAATACCGGTTTATTCCGCTGGTCAGAACCACTTTAGCTTCTCCCTTTACAGCACTTACTTCCGGTATCCTTTCCTGACTTTCATTTGATTGGCTGAGCCAAATAACCCAAGAGCACTGATTGGATAATTTTCTGTTCGCGATGAGCTATTGGCTGATACTGAAAACCAACCTGAAGTGCAAATTACATAACAAAGAAAGATTGCTACACTATACAGGTATGAATAATGTTAAAATCGTTAATTGTTTTGCATTAAATGCTAAAATTACATTGTTAGTTTTCCACATAATTAATCACGTAAAATGCTTATTTGTTTTATTTTASTTTGAATTTCATTTGAGTTCTGTTGTACCTCTCTGAGATGAGTTTTCTTCCAGATCCTTGGACCCAATTTAATATCATCCCTACAAGTACCTGACTCAGAAAACAACTGTCAATGTTGGTACAAGATAAGACTGTTCACTCCTTACCAATGTGGCTGTAACTCAGTCAGTTTTGCAGATTTTAAACTAAAACTTGGTGTGGTAATAGAAGGGAGTTATCCCTCTGAGTCTGACTTATAAAAATACATCATGTGACTGCAGATGTTATTTTCCAAGTTTAGCAGCTATAATTTCATGATTTCTCAACAAGAGATGATCTTAGTCTGACTGACTCTACACACTCCCTGCTTCATCTGCTTTCATCAAACAACCCAGCTTTCAGTTTTGCAGATGGAGCCATTAACATTTCCTGTGTCAATTAATGCAAATGATATWTGATATTTTCCCAAGAACAAGACAAGAAGTCTCAAATGTGTCTAACTGTGTTTGAATCTGTCAATACATATGTTTTAATGCAATTGAAAATCAATTATGATACAACTGTGACAATAGTAGTACGAATAAAAACGTTCCACACATTAAACCATCATTTGTCCATTTCTACATCTGCAGTAATGATTTGTAATAGTTGTTGGTATAAAGTCATAGGAATACTTTACTGTGTTGAGTACTTTTCTTTTCACATACTTGTGCTTTAAATATTAACTGTGTTTCATTTGTGTCTTGTGGTGTTAAATAATGTAAACTCTCAGTTTTAAATAGCTTTAAATAAACCTTGTCAGTTTAAGTTAAAATGCAGTCTGGGAAATGACATGTAAATAGTGTAATAACTTTTTGTAGATCTGTTAATACATTGAGGCTGATTTAAAAAAAAAACAAATACAGAATAAGAGATTGCAGCCAAAACAGCAAAAAGATTTTGAACAAATCTCAAAACTTTATTCTACATACTGCACTTCAGGTGTCTGTATTTGAATCACATCTACCACAAATAAAAAATATACCCCAGTGGTACAACTTAATACACTCTGAGCGAACAGAGTGAACAAGGAATGTTTTCATACTTGGAAAAATGTGTTTATTTCTATTCCACAGAAACTGGGAGCTTAGAAGCAGTGCCGATGAACTGAAGACCCTTTTCTTTGAAATAAAGTGCATTTATATAGCATTTACTCTGATAGTCACACAAATAAAGAAATAAAAAAATCAAACATATAACATTGGATGCCACTGACTGGAGAAAAAAGGCTTTAAAGTGGAAACAATTTGCTATTTCATTATCAGGTGATTAGAGATGATCAGATGCCTCTGATATTACAGCAAAGTATAAAAACTCATTTCTGACATAAAATATACAACTGTATATTTGCAAATTCAATATGCATTTTCCAAGATATAAATAACAGTCAAGTGACAAACACAACAGAAAATAATAACATTTTCAAGTGTTCATTTATAATTACTGCAAAAGTTTGTATCAGAACCTTAAATGCATAATTAGTTAGGTAAAGAACCTCTGCAGTGAAACTGTGGCCTCAAAAAACTCAACACAAGTCACTGGGAACCACTGGAAGGCAGTCATGAGTTGAATATAAACCCCCAAGGCTGCTGAAAGAAGACATGTTTTATGTTAATGAAAGATCAAATGATAACATTGTTTATGCCAGAGGTCTGTTTTTATACACTTTACAGCAACTTTCTGCAGCTTCGAGCCATTAATTGTAGAGTTCTGCACAGACAAAGCTTTTCTGTCAGCGTTTTAAACCAAACTATAATCTGGGCCCAGATGAGGAAAAGACAGATGAAGACGACCAAACTTCAACACTGAAGATACATGAATGTGTTGTACTGTCTAAACCATTTGAGTGAAACTTTTTTTGATTCAAAAATACAATTCAGTATTTTGAATCCTGCCTTGCTGTCAAATTATACAACACAGTATGTCTGCTTTTTGCACTAGTACAACAGGAAGTAATCAAAATACACTCACTGACAAGAAAGTTAAGCATAATGAAGGCAAGGTCCAAAGAGGTTCACATGCAAATCAGCAATAAGCTGGCATGTGTGGAATTGCCAACAGATTTMATAGAAAGTAGCATCAGGCCTGGTTAAAATGTCATCAGGTAGTTGCCTGAACCTTTAACAGTCAAAGCAGTGACGCCTTGTAGAAACTACTTTTAACAGAGTTGGATAAGATTCACATTCTGGGTTTTTGTCAGGACAGGTGATCATTTCGAACATTGCCGACATGTGGGGTGTACAAATTTCACAGTGGCCTGATGCTGGAACTGGTGGGTGCAWGGGGGCACATGCAATTTTGTTTCTGCAATATCACAAATGACCATAGGCGTAATTTGCAGGGGGGTTAGGGTGGTTTTGACCCCCACAATAATTTGATCCGGACAATATATACCCCCACCCCCCAATAAAATGGCATCATTTGCTCAAACACAAAAGAAATCAACTGGTTAAGTAGACAGACGCAACTCTCTTGTTGTCTTTAGGTAACTTTGACTTGATTTAAAAATGTGCAATGTCATGTTTTCAAGCATAACCCCCCCAATTGTAGACTTAAAGTTACGCCCTTGCAAATGACAATCATGTTTGATAATGGCCGCACAAACGATTTGGGGGGACCCTGATGACTCCTCCTGGTGCATCCATACACAACCCATCAAGGGGAATCTCATTTTGAAATCTGCCAGGTCCCCTGATCTTTCTTCACCCAACATGTCGGATCAGCTTGGAGATCATATTCAAGCCAGCGCTGATCTGTTGGATCAACAGAGTTGGCTCCAGCAGCTGTGGGCCGACAGGAGAGGACACAACGGCTGTGTGACTCGGTTCTGAATCACTGCTTGTATCCAGGCCTGAGGTGCCACAACCTACTGACACGAGACCAGCAGCGTCAGCTCTGTTATTCATTTCATTACAGTCACATGACTTCAGCTTCATTTTCACCACGTTCACTGGGTGCTTAAGGGTTTTTTGTCAGTGAGCGTAAACCACAAGTGACATCTAGCAATTGATGGAACAATTTATTTCAGATTTAATTATTTAATCTATTTTCTAAGCATGTGTTTTCAAATCAACATGCTTTTAAATTATTTGGATAAACATGTACCATGAAAGAATATGTGCTCAAAAAGGATGAAAAACGTGATCATAATTGTTCAATGAGTAGTTATCTGCATTGGTGCTGAGGCCACAGATGTGTTCAACTTTTATTCGGTTTGTTACACCGAGCATCATGAGGTGCCCATAACTAGTCATTTTGATCATATTATGAATATTATTTTTATTTAAACCAATTCATAGTGATATTACATCTGTAAGGTTTTAGTTTAGCTATAAAGCCCTTTAACAAACAGTTTATGCTACGTCAGTGAGGGTTGTTTTTCCTGTTTTGACAGGAAAACAACCCTCAGGTTTGCTGTTTGTGTGCTTACAATTTGTTTTTCTGCTGTTTCAAAGATAAGAAAGTTGATTTCCTTCTCGACAGTAAAACCTTCCAAGAGTCTCTGGAGCCTAACTGCAAATTTTCAGCTTCTGTCATGCTTTGTAAATGAGCATAAAAACACACACACATCATACACTTCCTTCATTCACAAACACACTTGTGTCCTCGTTCAACGGACAACAAAATGCGTGTGAATTTAAAGTGTATGAAAATAAGCTGCCGATGCTTCCTGCAGGCAATGCAAATGTTTTTTTAAGTGTGTATGTGTGTTTGTGGATGCACTCAAGCTCAAAGAGAGGGGGAAAAAAAGACTGCCGTGGCCTTGCTGGAAGGGGGAGATAAGCACGGAGCCTGAGCTCTCCTCTGCAGCGAGATGCAGCCTCTAGGAATTAAAAGAAGAAAACCCTCAATATGGACGAACACACAGTCGCATGCAGTCCTCTGAGACAAAGCTAGAGGGATGTAGATGTGGCATCCACTGACAGAGGGCTTGCTTCGGCTCTGTGTAATTTAGAGAAGGCAAACTGCTGCATAACCAGTGAATACGCCTAATCAGCCTGCTGCTTTCACACTGTAGACAAACATGTTGGGCGTGATGTGCGTGTCGCTCGGTGTAAATATCACAATTTGAATGTTTTGCCATCCTTTAAAATAAGCAGTAAGAAAACACAGAGAGGTCTGGCTGAAAGTCGGGGGACTGGATTTGGTATTCACAGTATTCAGCATGTTTTGATCTGTAAAGCACTTTTTTCACCCTTTTGTACCTTTTAGACACATACAGTACTTACCTATATGACATGCGTTCACATTGAACCACACATATRTATCTGATAGTGTTTCACCTTACATCATTAAGACTCTTAATAAATTATTCGTAATAGAAAACCAACAGTTAACGCACCTTTACAGCTAATTTTTTTAACTTGTTGTTTGAAGTCTTTGATTTGAATTAATAAATAACACTTTATATACTATGAAACTGGAATGTACATTGGTTTTTAAGTGCTTGTCTTCTCTTTTATTGTTCTTCCAAGCAAAAAGACATTTATTCATTTGTTTGTATATTATCAAAGTCTGATTAAAAGAACCCATGGGGTCACATTTTGGGAAGGCTGCCACCTGTTGCAGCTCTCTCCAGCAGGGAGCTGGAAGGACTCTGAGTCACCACTGCACCCCCCGAAGCCACCCGAGCCCCGGCTGGAGAGTCCAACTTCCCAGTTGTGCTTCCCTGCTTCTCCTCCGATGCTTTACCTGGCGGCTCTTTGCTCTTGGCTCCTTCCTGAGAGACGAGCTTGATCGGCCCGAGGACGTTCTTGGCCACGGTGGTCAGCTGGCTGACGAAGCTCGTCTTGTCCCCGGGGGAAACGGGCCGCGACTTACACAGGGAGGGTCCGCAGAGAGAGGGTGTGACTGCTGTCGGCGATGGGGAGGGGGAAGGCGAGTGCTCCTCCACCACCTCCAGGCGACATTTGTCCTCCCAGTCCAGAGTCCCTCTGTAGCAGTTGACGGGGCCCAGGCCCTGCCTCACTTTGCCCAACGAGAGAGGCGTCCCGTGTGGGGGGACCACAGGAGCAAGGATCCGAGCTTGGAGTTTGGGGCTTTTGGAGCCGAGGTCTGGAGTCTTTGAATCATTGCTATCGGCCTTTCTTAGACTATTTCCTGTACTTGGGGGTTTAATAAAAGGTTTGTTTATGTTTAGAGGAGATGCTGCCACGGCTGAGTTGATGGATTTTTCTGGAGCAGGCGAGCTTTTGTTGAAAACCGCAGTTGGTAAACAAGATCTGGTCTTGTCTCCTTCTTGTCTTGGTTCTGGCTTCCCTCCTATCTGCTTCACCTGGGTATTTCTGCTGCTGGGTAACACACTTTTGGATCCTGGTTCCAGACTCTGGTAGTTCCTCTCTGATCTCTCTTGTCCACTCGGACCTCCAGTTGGGGTTGTGGGTTTCGTGTTCTCTTCACGTTGTGTGGAGCTGTGCGAGTTCAGGTTAAAATCACTTGCATGAGACTTTCTTGCAAAGGAGGACTGTAACCCCGTTCCTCCGACTCGGCTCTCCTTCTCCCTGTCTCTCCCTCTTTCCTTCTCCTCCCTCTCCCTTCCAGCCAGCAGAGTCTCCCTGCTGAGCGGGGACTCCTGCCTCCCGAGCCTCCTGGCAGGCTTCAGCACACCGGTCTCTGGGGTTATAGAGGACGAGGGCAGGGGAGGGGCATTAGGAGGCAGATTTTCTCCTTCTGTCTCCAACAGGCTCTGCAGCCCGAGCTCACAGAGGAAGGCGTCTTTGCGGTACTCGGAGTGCTGCACCTCCAGGCTGTGCTTCCTCAGCGGACCCCCCAGTCCTCCCGTGGAATTGGACTGGGTCAGAGGCGAGCCCAGCTTCTCCGCCGATTGCACTCGCTTGAGAAGAGGCGACCGCGGGGGCTCGGCGCTCTTGGGCCGGGGGCGGACCACCGGGGGAGAGGAATGGAGCTTGGCAGGGAAGGACTGGGTGGTGTTGGAGCTTCCTATAGTGTGGCCCGGCAAGGGCGGAGGGGACGACTGAGTCGGGGAAGGTGTGTGGGCCAGGGGGGACAGCGGGATGTTGCCAGCAGACTTGCAGCGAGCAGAGCGATACTGGCGGTGGAGCTTTGGGGAGAGACCGTGCAAGGAGCTGGGCCTCATGTGCTGAGAGGGAGACGGGGAGTTCGGAGTGCTGGAGGCTGGAGAGCTGCTCTGGGATGAAGCACCTGAAACAGAGAACATCAGTAGAAAATGTCAGGAAAAAGTTATCTTTGCTGCTGATCGATTAAGCGGATTGCTCATTTTATACACCGTACCCAGGTAGGAGGGCTCAGGTGTGGAGCGGTAGCCCTGAGTCGGGGACCGGGCTGACAGGCTGTGTGTTGGAGATCCAGGAAGACTCTCACTGGAGGACAGAGAGCGATTCAAAGAGGACAGACTGCGGCTGGTRTGGAGGAGGTTGGACTGTTTTGTGATCTTACGAAACAAGGAGCTGCGCTTCTTGCTGCTTGGTAGACAAAAAAGAAAAAAAAAGAAAAAAGAAAGAAAGAACAATAGTTAGTTAAGTTTATTCATTTCTTTAAAAACAACAACAACATAAATTCAACAAACARTAAAAATACAAATCATAAATTAAATGAAAGGTAGCAGAAGAAAACAATCTTATTATATCTGCCCCTTTTTCTCAAATAAATGTATTCAATCAAAAATAATCTTCAGATTACAAAAACAAAAAAAAGAAACACAAAGGAAAAATAATAAAGGTTTACCTCCTTGAGCAACAATTCACACATATTTACACATTTCTCCAACAAATTAACCTTTATCACTCTCTTTAAAGGGGCAATATCGTAAAATCAACTTTGAGTTTTATATCATGTTATAATGTTATACTATCATAAAAAAAAACATGCCCAAAGCCTTGCTCTGACTCATTCATGCATGTTTGAGAAATCCTGCAGCGTTTTAAGGAAGCCATGCTGAGGAGCAAAACGACAGGTGGGGACCAGAAATGCCTCTGGAACATGTCTTTAATCTGAGCTTCTTCATGGCGGGGCGCCACCCCCCACTCCCTCCCCTCGCCCATAACTCCTGCAGGCTCTCGGGTAAAACTGAAAGTGAAACTGAAACTGTCTGCTGAGCTCCTTACTTCTCACTCAGTGAAGCTCTTTTTATATTAAAAATACCTTTGAGGAAATTGTATTTTCAGATTCCAAGTAAACTGCATCATGCCCCCCACCCTCTTGTGTGCAAACCCTCCCCCCTTGCACTGAAATGGGCGGGACAGAAGCAGAAGGTGGTTCTTAAAGAGACCGAGGCCAATTTCAAGACGTTTAGAAGAGGAAGTGATGAGAAGATAAGTTTATTTTCTATTTAAACATAAAAACAGCATTTTAATAGCAGCTAAAGGTGACATAGATACTTTATCATGGTATAGTATTTAAATGTATGCCTGAGAAACACATAACATTGCCCCTTTAATACATAAAAGTAATGTAATACTTCTATCCAGCAGCCATTATTCTACTGAATGAAACAACATGCCACACAAGAGCCTTATATTTGAATTAAAAACAATTCTTTCATTTGTTAAGTCAAATTGTTTGTTCATAACTATGACTTAGAAGAAGATGTAACCACATTTTAGGCGTAATAACTTTACCCAATTTCTTTTTTTGAAGTAGCAAACTTGGTTTCAGAACAAACAAGAAGCTGAGGCTTTGCTRACAAAACGGTGAGTCAGCTCCTACCTCTCCTGACCTTCCTTGGCCRCCGTCTTCTTGTTTCGTCGGGCCATCTTACACTTGTAGCTGGCCTTCCGGGCAGGGCCCACTTTAATGGAGGTGTTCTCAAAAGGCGTGGTTGTCACAGTCACCTTGTTACCACTCTGATCAGATCACAATAAAGGACATTTATGAAGCTTATTGTCACTTCGTTTGTGCTCAACCTGAGCTCGACAGTGAAAACTCAACCTATAAACATAACTGAGGAGGAGGAGGATCGCTGATGCCAACCTTTAGGATGAGTTCGACTACTTCAGTGTGGACCAAACCGTGGACAGGTTCTCCGTTGACATGAGTGATGAGGTCACCTGCACACAGGCCAGCTTCCTGGGCGGGGCCTCCATCCTCCACATGCTGCCAGTAAACAGTTTACATGAGGAGGAAATCAGGCCACTAAACCCGACACTTGTTTCTGCATAACTCAAGATGAAGCAAAAGCTTTCTGCTTATATAATATACAGTACTGTGCAAAAGTTTTGAGTCATCCCGAGTTTTGATCAAAGCACAATAGCAGCACAACAAATCTGACATTTAAAATGCAAACGCTAAGCTTTTACTGACATTCAGTTTGTTCTAATCTTACCCAAACAATGTGATGCACGCTGTAGATGTCACTATCTCCAATGTAGACCCTGATGGCCCGCAGGGTAAAGCCGTACTTCTTCCCTGAGCGGTGGATGGTGATCGGGGAGCGAAGGACACTGACTGCAGGGAAGAAGTCTCTGCTGGGCGACGAGTCACGCGACGACGGATTGGAGGAGAAAGAGTGGGGGGACATGGGGCTGGCCAATGGAGAAAAACCACCGTGTTGCTCCACTGGAGACAACGGACAGGTAAGAACAGAGATAATAAACTGCACATATCAGTATTTCTGTGAATCATTTCAGTATTTCAGGTCCTTGTGCCTCTCACCTGATGGGATGATAACAGACAGAGCGGTGGCAGAGGCGGACTTGATGACCTTGTTGCCTTGTCTGGAGTTGCGTTTTTCTCCATCGCCAGACAAATGATGGTGACGTGCCCTGCGCAGGACCAGGTCATTGGTGGCTCGGGGTCCCAGAGGGTCATAAAGAGGTGTGATCACATCACGACTGGCTGCAGCCGGACCTGGAGATAATGTGGTGACAGCCGAGGTCATGGTTGGAGCCTCTCCTGTTCTGGAAGGTTTGTCTGTAAGAAGTCAGAAACATGTTGGTTACAGTTGATATAACATGGCATTAACATACCAATTACCCTCCCATTTCTTTGAACAAACCTGCTCCGCTGAACTCTTTCACATTGACCCTGTGCTCCAGGAGGTTCGGTGAGGGGACTGTGCTCCCGTCCAGCGAGGTTCCTCGGACCTTCATGAAGTTCGGGCGGGACAAGAACTCCTGCTCACCTTCCAGTGGGGAGGCAAAGCGATGTGTATCCATCAAAGCTGAGAAACGACGCCGGGCACCAAGAGGAGGGCTTGCATCCCCCTCCGTGTACAGAGACTCTGAACAGGACAGCCGCTTCCTGCAGGAGGACAACAAACAGATACAAAGAAATCCCAATGTTCAACTTTAACACCATTCAGATGTTTTAGCSTGAGAGAATCTGCCTCATTTGTACCAAACAGAAAGTAAACCAGAGGCTGAGGTGAATGTATTAAATTAAATTAAATTAAATTAAATTAAATTAAATTAAATTAAATTAAATTAAATTAAATTAAATTAAATTAAATTAAATTAAATTAAATTAAATTAAATTAAATTAATAGTAGATTAAATGGATACGTTGGCCTTTTTAATTAGGGTTGTGTGGAAGGATGAACAACAAAAACTGTTTTATTCTGACAGAGTTGGCAAACTAAAGGCTGGTTCTAGCAAGGCCAGGAGCACCACTCAACAACAATGCATTATTGAAGTAGAAATGTGTGGTTATTTTCAAATGCAAATAGCAGAAACTGCTGGCTGTGGCACATCTGGCGCAGCCTGTAACAGTTTCAGCAAGAGTTTTATTATATTTAAGAACACATAGCAGTGTAATGCATAACTGACAGGAGTTGTTTTAGAGTGACAGAATTGGTTTTGAGTACGGCTTCCATCTGATAAGTCATATTAGTTTGACAAAAAGGTCAGGGTTTATCTCATAAATGGTTTCCCACTCATGGGGAAACTTTGAAAACCAAAGCAGTCCACCACTCACATCTCAGGAGATCCAGTCCTCCAGCTCTTCTCCCTCATGCTGAAGCTGCCCAGGCTCTCTCTCTTGGTCACCTTGTCCTCCCGTGGGCCCTTGTGCTCCCGACGGGACACAGAGTTTGGTGCTTTCTGCTCCAGCTGAGAAAGATGCTCCATACTACTGTACACCTGCAGGGAGACATTCACATCAATAATCATTATGTGAGTGCTATGAAGATATTTACAGAATTAATGTGTTTTCACTTCTTCTATAGGTACTTGTTTAGTTATAAAAAAAACATTTAAATTTCAAACAACATGAGTAGCAGAACGTAAATCCTCTGCACAATTTAAAGGCTGCTACAGGCAGCTTAAATCCAAGTATGCAATTTTTCAGTCTTGACTTTTACAGCCCATGTCACCTATGAGCCTTGGATTAATACTAATTAGGTGGTAAACTAAAAACCATCAAGCAGCGGTTTTATTTTCTGTGACACCAGACTGTATGCTTGATTAAACTATGTAACTGTGATAAAAGATTACTGACACAGGGCTTAATCATGCTCACAATTGGTCTTTTTTATTTTTATGATTTGTAAGGCTCTCATTATGTTCAGAGTGACACTATGTGGGGGAGGACAATGAGGCAAGCTGCGTTAAAGGAAGCCTGCAGGATGTTCATGAGTGCACCATGGAAACAGMCCCAGCTGTCTTTTCAGGAGGAAAACCAAAACAATGTTAGATGCAATTTGTTTAATTCATGAAACATTTCAAAACTGCAACTTCACTCGAATGAAATAAAATAAAAATAATAATTAAAACGAATAATTTTAAAATAATAATTAAAATAATTTTTGGGCTTTGTCAGAAATAAATCGTGTTTATTGACTGGACGCAAAGAATTTAATGAACAAAAACACAAACAAAATAAATGTGTGGCTGTTTTTCTCTCCATAACGTTTTCCAAGGGTTAAATACAAAAATGTCTCCAAGTTCAGATCTGGGTATTTATGAAAGAAAAAAAACACAAATAAAGCTTCTCATTTCCTATTTCCAAAATTCTTACACCTAAACAACTAATTAATCTTAACAAGGCATGAACTGTGTTTGACATTTCCTATTTTGCTGTTTATTTCCTTAATAACATTTTTTTAATGTAAAAAATATTAACAAACGCCGGTGTTGAGAAGCTAAATTTCCAAAGTTGTGTTTTATTAGAAGGGGTAAGCTGACAGCAGAATTTTGTTCGCAATTTTTACAATTATTTTTCATTTTTTGCTTGAAAGCTCACTAAAAAAAATCTTTGTCTGAGAGGCTGAACAATCATGTCAAAGTCTTTTCTTGCAGTGACACTTGATTTGGATTTTTTAAAACTATTTTAGTAACCCAACTGAGTAGGACAAAAAGGGAAAAAAATAATGAAAAGTGAAGTAAGATAAACACAAAAGAGGAGAAAGAAACGTCTTTGAACATGATGTGAGAAAAACAAACTAAAAAAGCAACGATCCAAACTGAATGTAAACCTGAAGAGGATTAGAAGACGTGTTGTTGAATTACATTTAATGCAAACCGACAGTTGTGTGAAAGATCCAAGAAGGTTTGTGAGCTCTGTGCCCTAAAATAAAAACAGGAGGCAAAAAAAAAAGATAAATAGTGTTGCTGTTAGTCAGCCCACATTGGCTTCAGTATTCAGCACCAGGTTTGATTCTGGATCCAGCATTCAGGAGTGTGTTTGTGCAGCGTGACCTATTTTATTCCTCATCTACTCCTGTCACAAGATCTCAGGTGGCAAGTCTGCGCGGCGGGTTGACACGGTGAAAATGAGAAAAACGGTGAGAGATGAAACATCTGAGGATAACAAAGAGGCAGAGTCGTACCTTACTGAAGCGAGGAGAGCAAGAGGAGAACTGTCTGATCTCCACCGGCTCATCATCATTGGTGTCATCCTCGTCGTACGTATTGATGTGGTGATAGCGATCGGAGCGAGCTGGCAGACAGACAGAAGAGTGAAGGAGAGGGGAGGTGTCATTTGAAGGTAATGACTGGAACAGGGGTAGAAAATAACTGTACAACCCGTAAACTTTGCTCATAATGATACATAAATCCAGAAACTCTCTGAGGTTGTTCATGTCTCCATTAAAACAGCTTTTAGCTTAGATAGCACTAAACAGATCTGAACTGATATACACATAAAGCCAGTAATTGATGTCTGATTTAAAACATTTTGGGGTACACAAATTAAATTCCCAGAAATGGAGTAATTAAAAAGGACATATCATGCAAAAGCAACTTTTTTAGCCAAACATTTTGTTGTGTACTTAGAGTTTCTAATAGTGCAGAAAAGTTTCATTTAGGCCACTGATATATTTATATTCTACAGTATTTGGGTCATATTTTTCAGTCCATTCAGTTTTTTCTATTCCCTATTATATTTTTTTGAACTATTACATCACAGTATTTGCTGCAGAATTGTTAAATAAAGGTTAAGGATTTCCGGCTAACCAGTTTCAGAAACCAGCAGTTCTGCAGGTTTTTCGTCTTCATTCTCGTCTGGCTCTGGGTCAGACTCTGGCTCCATGTAAGACTGGATGGACAAGTCTTCCCTTATCTTACCTTTTAAGCAATTTGTAAATAAAAGATGTATGCATTGCTAGATTATCATATATCTGCTATCAACCTACAAAAATGGTCAAACCGGGTGGAGTGGGCAATGACCTATAGTAGTTCCCAAACTTTTCAGCTTTGTGACCCACAAAATAACAGTAGCAAAGACCTGAGTACCCAACTAGTTTTGGTTGATAAACATTGGCATCAGGTTGAATAAACAAAGGCATAGTAACTAAATTCATTGTGTTACTTTTAGCCATTTTAAGTACACTAAGGCTACTCTATTGTAACAGTTAAAGCAAACCTGTCATTTTTAAAAGTAATTATTTAGAAAATCTATTCAGGGCCCCACCTTGATGTTTTGGGTCCCCACTGTGTGGTCCAACGGCAACGTTGGGAACCACTGCTCTATTTCATTGAGAGTGAAATGCCCTGTGACCTAGAGGGGGTGGGGTTTGAAGTGCCTCATTTGCATTTAAAGAGACAGCTCCTAAACGAGTTGTTCTCCGATGCACCTCAGAACAGGGGTGAAAAAGGGTTGTGGAGGAATTCTGACAAAAACATTGCAGTTCCACTTTATATAGACCACAACTCAATAATTTAAATGTGAAAAGGAAAGATTTTTAAGCAYATGTCCACTTATTAATCTGAAAATCCCCTTACTGTCAAAGTAGCTGGTGTCCTCTTCGGACTCCAGGTGAGGAACAAACTCTGCTTTCTGCCTCAGCAAACTGTTCCAGTCCAGTCCAGAGAAGAAGGAGTGCTGCTTCACCTCGAACGCTCCACCTGACAGAGAAAAACCACAAACCACACAATCTTTAAAAACCTGATTTTTATTTGTTTTTCTTGCATCGTTTTATCTTATTCAAAATATAACAAAAGGTTCAACAAGAGCAAAAATCAGTACCTGTACCCAGCCTTACAAGAGGGTTGGTCTGTAACAGAGCAGAAATGAGGGACTGTGCGTCTGCAGGCAAAGCCTCGTCTCCACCTGGCCAAACTATATCATCTACCACAACAAACAAAAGAGACAGAAGAGGATGAAATTATAAATTAATAAAAAGTCCAAACTTCTTAAAAGTGTGTGAAATACTTAAAATTTTTAACAAAATATGATGTAATAAATGCAGCAATATTTGCAACCTTGTAGCATAAAACTCTTATTAAAGATGGTRAAACTTTGCTGGTATAACATTGTAGTTTTGTGGTTTGACTTCTAAAAACATGCAGATTAAAAAGATCAGCAAACAATGTTACCTGTGATGACCTGTCCAAACAGCTCCTCAGGAGTGTCTCCAAAAAACGGCACGCAGCCCACCAGGAACTCATAGAGGATGATGCCCATCGCCCACCAGTCCACAGGTTTCCCATAGCCCTGACGGAGGATCACTTCTGGAGCGATGTACTCAGGAGTCCCGCAAACCTGCGAGGGGGGGATGGGGAGAATGTGGAGGAAAAAGATGATTTAAATTCAGAGGTGTCAAACTCAACTACACAAAGGGGTCAAAATTCAAAACTTGGTCCAAATTTGGTCAGTATTTATTGAAGTTTTTATCCTGATCGAAATACATTTTCCATTTTTCAAAATTATATTTTGTGTAGTATTTAGAACCCTAACAAATAAAAAAGCAAGTGCTTCTTACACTTTAATCACAACTATTTTATTTAATATTACTTAGAGATACATTTTATCATAATCCAGCAAATCAGAAAAGAAAACCACTAAAAGTCCAACTATTTGATTTAAAATTGAAGAAAAAACAATATAAGTCAACTAACGTTGAGGAAAAAACTGCACTAAATACAGTGACAAAAACAAAGTTTTCTACATTTTTTCTACATTTAAAATATATTTAATATATTTTAAATATTCCCTTTCGGGCCAGATAAAATGTTAATCAGAAAAGAAAACCACTAAAAGTCCAACTATTTGATTTAAAATTGAAGAAAAAACAATATAAGTCAACTAACGGTCTAGAAAAAACTGCACTAAATACAGTGACAGAAAGAGAAATGATAAAAATAATTAAAATTCAAAAAATATATTTCCTTTGGGACCAGATAAATTGTCAACAAGGGCCGTATTTGGCCCGCGTGCCTTGAGTTTGACACGTG